AACTTTTCCTGGTCTCCCATGGGGTGCAGGGCCCAAGCACTTGAGCCATCCTGCACTGCACTCCCTGGCCACAGCAGAGAGCTGGTGTGGAAGAGGGGCAACCGGGACAGAATCCGGCGCCCCGACCGGGACTAGAACCCGGTGTGCCAGCGCTGCAAGGCGGAGGATTAGCCTAGTGAGCCATGGCGCCAGCCTCTCTCCAGATTCTTCTTCTTCCCTTGCTTCCACCTTATCTGGGAGAAGGAAAGAGTTTGGTGAAGCCAGAGAAATGAGGCAGACTCTGGGAGTGTAGGAGGACACTTACTGAATGCTTTTGAGAGCACCAATAGGAGCCAAAGATGTGGCTTCACTTACGTAGACCTGAAAATCATAGCAAATCTCCTCTGGCTACAAAAAAGAATCCATCATCTGGGATCCTGGGCTTTAAGAAAAAGCTAAAGTGTTCAGAAAGACCAAGAGGATCTTGGAGGAAGAAGACAAGAGACCATAGAGAGAAGACACCCACAGGCAACTCACTGAGTCAAATAAACATTCATTTGTGTTATTCAACATCTTCTTTTTTTAACTTTTATTTAATAAATATACATTTCCAAAGTACAGCTTTTGGATTACAATGGCTTCCCCCCCATAACTTCCCTCCCACTTGCAACCCTCCCATCTCCTGCTCCCTCTCCCATTCAATTCACATCAAGATTCATTTTCAATTCTCTTTATTTACAGAAGATCAATTTAGTATGTATTAAGTAAAGATTTCAACAGTATGCACCCACACAGAAACACAAAGTGTAAAGTACTGTTTGAGTACTAGTTATAGCATTAATTCACATAGTATAACACATTAAGTTCAGAGATCCTACATGGGGAGTAAGTGCACAGTGACTCCTGTTATTCAACATCTAACACAAGGTTTACTTCTAACACCAACAAGGAACTCTATGTTTACACCATCCAAGATGGAACAGGTGTGACTCCAATTTGGAGGAGGAAGTTAGAAAACCAGTTTCCCCTCAGTTTCTGTCCTAAAAAGGCCCATCCTCAATGGCTGCAATGCATAGACAAGGAAGCCTTCAATAGCTCAGAGACCTCTGGGCTGGCAGCCACTCACTACCAAAGCACTGGCTGTGGCAGAGGGGAATCTGACAACTTGAAAAAGAGCTTGAGGTCTTTGTGTAGAGTGACCTCACAGATCCTCAAGCTTGTCTAAGCATGGCCTTGCCCTCTTCCCAGCTAGAATTTTCTTGACAGTTTGTGGAAAGCTCATCAAAACCAAGATCATACCTTCTAACTTCATAGTATACAAAGTTGTGAGCTAAAATGAATGAATCACCTTAGTTTGGGTTCAACCAATGATGTTCCAAAGTGTAACATATGTGAGACATGAGTTTGGGGAAGAAGTTGGCAGGCACCACTCAATAGGATTCCAAAGAGTAGTTTTTTCACAAACTTTGGTTTAAAGAAAACATAACAGTTTTGTTACTGCAGGATGTTTCAGAGCCTTGAAATTGCTGGTGTGAATTATGACTCTCCAAGAAAGGTATAAAGTGGTAGTATTTCCTAACTTTATTTGAACTTCAAATATTTAACCAAATTATATTAATTTGAGATTTGTTTCTCACTAAAAAGGACACTATTTCCAACCCATATCAGAGTGCCAGTTTGTGTCCCCCCCACTCCACTTCTAATACAGCTTCTTGTAATGCACTTCCTTGGAGGCAGCAGATGATGGCTCAAGTATTTGAGTTCCTACCCTCGATCTTAGCCAAAAGGCTGAGAAGCAGTATCTGAGTTCCTACCCTTGATATGAGAGATCCAGATGGAGTTCTTGACTCCTGGATTCAACCTGGCCCTGCCCTGGCTGTTATGACCATTTGGGGAATAAATCAGCAGATATATCTCTCTTTCTAATAAATAAATAAATAAATACTTTAAAAAGTAAAATGATGCATTTGTATGTATGAGAGTAAACACAGGCTTAGTTTTCAAAGCTTGAAAAATTTAGAAAAAATAATGAGGCAAAAATTATTCATAAATGTATAACTTCAACATTTGATATGATTTATTCTTCATAAAATATTTGCCAAAATATATAATTTACTTGATACTTTCTACATCCTTACACATTGTTTGAAACATATGATTAATGGCTCTAGTGTGGTCAATAATATAAAGGGAACATACTTCATTAAAAATTATCTTTATGGGATGAATTGGCTATTTATATCATGAATATCTTTTTGTAGAAATCTTTGTTTCTATTTTAGTCTTTTGAGCAGAAATCTATAAGTCCAATCAATGTGTAGACGTGAGTAAAGATTTGTGGGTTCTTAACAAATACCAAATTGCCTTCTAGAGGATTTGCATTATATAAATACCCTCAGGAGAGGTGCCTTTCTCTGAAGGGAGGAGAGAACCTCCACTTTGACTATGACCTTGTCTAAACAAGATAAGAGTCGGAGAACTCAAGAGGCTTCCATAGCCTTGGAAACTCATAACTGGTGCATAGGGAGATTACTGATGCCATAAACAGGAGTGTCAATTGGTAAAGTCAACAACAGGAGTCACTGTGCACTTACTCCTCATGTAGGATCTCGGTCCTTAACGTGCTGTACACTGAGGCTTAATGCTATAACGAGTACTCAAACAGTATATTTCACTTTGTGTTTCTATGGGGGTGCAAACGACTGAAATCTTTACTTAATGTACACTAAACTGATCTTCTGTAAAAAAAAAAAAAAAAAAAAAAAAAGAAATTTTCAATTCCCAACTTGACTCTCACTGGGATTAAACATGACAATAGGTCTGATCTGATTTCATCATCATTTAAAAAAAATCATCTATTATTTCTCACTTTATGTTTCTGTGTGGGAGCAAACTGTTGAAATACTTACTTAAGGTATACTAAGCTGATCTTCTGTATATTAAGATAATCGAAAATGAATCTTGATGTGAATGGAAGGGGAGAGGGAGTGGGAAAGGGGAGGGTTGTTGGTGGGAGGGACGGTATGGGGGGGGAAGCCATTGTAACCCATGAGTCGCACTTTGGAAATTTATATTCATTAAATAAAAGATAAAAAAAAAAAAACAAAAAAAAAAACAAATACCCTCAGGAGTTTATAAAAATGATATTTTGCCACTCTGTCACTAACTTTCAATATTATCCTTTTTTAAAAATCTGTGTTAGAAGCTGGTGTTATGGCACTGTGGGTTAAGCTGCCATGTAACATCATCCCATATGAGCACCAGTTCGAGTCCCAGCTGCTCCACTTTCAATCCAGTTCTCTACTAATACTCCTGATACAGCAACAAAGCATGGCCCCAGCATAGCCCCTGGCAACTAAATAGAAGACTTGGATAGAGTTCTGTGCTCCTGGCTCCAGAACTTTCCACTTTGTCTCAATTTTTCTGTTATGGCCTTAAAAATTTTACCCATTGATTAGTATGGATTTTTTTTTCTTTTTAGATTTATTTATTTATTTGAAAGTCAGAGTTACACAGAGAGAAGGAGATGCAGAGAGAGAGAGAGGTCTTCCATCCACTGGTTCACTCCCCAGTTGGCTGCAACAGGCATGTGGATGCAGGGGCCCAAGGACTCTACTGCTTTCCCAGGCCATAGCAGAGAGCTAGATTGGAAGTGGAGCAGCCAGGACTAGAACTGGTATTTATATGGGGATGCCGGCACTGCAGGTGGCAGCTTTACCTACTATACCATAGTACCAGCCCTGATTAGTGTGGATTCTATTAAGGTTATTGAATGTCCCAATTGTAACAAGTAATTTTCACAATTTGTGTTCACCTTTTAATTTGGACTATGATTCTTTGTATATAAATCTTAACATCAATTTATATAAAAAGTGGCTCTTTTCTTTTTTATTTCTTCCTTTGCTTTTTTGCTTAGAAAAATCTTTTTCAGAAGTCAGATGAATATTCACTAAATTTCCTCTTGACGTTTTTATGGTTTTATTTTTAAAATCCTTCTTCAAAAATATGGTGTGCTGCTTGCTTTTTGAACTGAATAAAACATTTTCTTAATGACTCAGGGTCACAATTTTGAACAGTATTTAAAGTTTTGTGCCATAAAATAGAACACTCCCAGAAGCCACCAAAGTGGGTAGGGCCAATTTTCCTCATTCTCTGTAACTTCAGACTCCTGTAAATGGCCAATTCAGCAGCTGCTTTCTGGCTTCTATCTCTTCTTTTCTATGTTATTTTATTTTTAAAATTTTTTGATTAACACATATCCCTTATACATTTTTGTGGGGTACAGTGCAGCATGTCAACACACATAAATAGTGCAAACCAATCAAACTTGGCAAGCAGACTTCTCATTTCCTTATCTTTCTGTTTGGAGCCTCCCAGCTCCTTTCTTGCAATTCTTTTCACAGCATTTAACACATGACCGTGAACTGTAATCATCCCAGGGTGCCATGGAACACCAGCACTGTTGCTTCTGTCTGTGTTCACTACCCATTATCCAACCTCCCTCTGCTCCCCTGACCCCTACCCTTCCCAACCTCTCCTAATCACTATTCTAAGTTCAGATCTACTGTTCTAGTTTGTTTTGTTTTTTAACTTCCACATATGATCTCTTCTTTTAACATTAGGTTCTCAGTTCTTTCTTCCTATTACAGACAATTGCTTGCCGCTCACAATATTTCTGACTTTGAATGGCTCAAACACCAAATGGCCAGATCCGTATGGCTATATAGGAAGGATATGTATACTGGAGCCTGGGTGGGGACGGCAAAAGGGTGCCTGACTCAAAGATGTTTATGTTCAATCCCTAAAATCTCTGCACATATTATTTTATGTGACAAGGGAAACTAAGGTTGCAGATGGTATTAAGTTAGCTACTAATCAGGTGACCCTGGAGCATGGAGATTATTCTAGATTATTGGGAAGCTTGAGGAAATACCAAGGCTCCTTACAGATGAAAGAGTAAGATAGGGGCATCGGGTGTCAGGGGGATTTGAAATGAGAAGGATTTGGACAGCCATTGCTGGTTTTCTTTTTCTTTTTTTTTTTTGACAGGCAGAGTTAGACAGTGAGAAAGAGACAGAGAAAAAGGTCTTCCTTCCATTGGTTCACCCCCCAAATGGCCACTACATCCGGTGCTGTGCCCATCCGAAGCCAGGAGCCAGGTGCCTCCTCCTGGTCTCCCATGCAGTGCAGGGCCCCTGAATGAGAGCCATCCTCCACTGCCTTCCCGGGGCACAGCAGAGAGCTGGACTGCAAGAGGAGCAACTGGGACAGAATCCGGCGCCCCAACCAGGACTAGAACCCAGGGTACCAGAGCCGTAGGCAGAGGATTAGCCTAGTGAGCCGCAGTGCCAGCCCAGCCATTGCTGGTTTTGAAGATGCAAGAGGGTCACAGGTAAAGGAAGCTGGACAGTGAGAAGCTAGAATCTGGAAAAGGCACAGAACAGATTCTCTCTTGCAAATCCTGTAGAAAGAATCTTAGCCCAGTGAGACCCATTTCAAACCTCCCAGCCTTTAAGACAATACATTTGTATTGTTCTTAACTGCTAAGCTTGGAGTGATTGTTACAGCAGCAATACAAAGAGAACACACTGGGCCCAGCTGTGTGTTCAGCGGAGAAAACAGCACAGGCATTAGTGTGTGGCCTTGACAGCTGCTGTTAGGGCTGCTCTGAGGTTTTGTTTCCTCCATCACCCAATAATTTCCATGACAGCTGGATATCGAACCTACATTTAGGAAGGAGCCTAAGTAGGACATCGTTTTACAAGAATTGTCCCCTACAAATCAAGTTGCAGGCACTGGGTCAAGGGGAAGTAGATGGCAACCGGAGAGCTACAATATTTTAAGTTATTTCAGAGAAATCACAAGGCTGGACTTTCTGCCCAGTTTGGAAGAAAGAGCTTGGAAGACAGGGTCATGACCCCTGGATGGGTGAGAGCATCATTGTTTAGTCAATGTCTACACTAGGTCAGATAACCATCGCGGCCTCTGGGTAAAATCCCCTGTCTCAGTGACTGGGTAGTTCAAGGGCAAGAGTCAAAAAGGATCCTCTTAGTGGAAAGAATGTTCCAGGAGCAGGGGTGGGGTATTAAATGCTGATGTGGATTTGTGCCACCAAAAGACTTGGATCCAGACCAAGCAGCAGAACATGAACTATTCTAATAAAAACTGGGTTAGTCCCTGAGACTAGTGCTCAAATAAGAGTAAGAGAGCTTCAGGAAAGAAGTTGCATGTACTGGGCAGGTGGAACCTACTTCAAGATGCATCTGGGCATCTGTCCAGTGGCTTGAGAGGAACCTGCACTTAAGTAATTCATTGTGGTGGACGCTACAGAGGACTCTAAAGAGTGTGAGCAGTTGGGGCCGACTGGCATAGTGGGTAAAGCCACCACCTGCAGTGCCAGCATTCCATGTGGGCGCTGGCTCGTGTCCCGGCTGCTCCACTTCTGATCCAGCTCTTTGCTATGGCCTGGGAAAGCAGTAGAACATGACCCAAGTCCTTGAGCCCCTGCACCCTCTTGGAGACCCAGAAGAAGCTCCTAGCTCCTGGCTTTGCATCAGCGCGGCTTCAGCTGTTGCAGCCATTTCGGGAGTGAACCAGCAGATGGAAGATCTCTCTCTCTCTCTCTCTCTCTCTCTCTCTCTCTCTGCCTCTCCTTCTCTCTCTGTGTAACTCTTTCAAATAAATAAATAAATCTTAAAAAAAAAAAAGGGAAAAAAAGAGTATGAGTAGTGCCTGGCATTGAGAAAGGGCTCAATAGATTCCTGCCATGAGAATGAACAAAAGGATGAATTTAGTGGCTCTCTGTCATCTTTAAAGCCTACTATGAGCCTAGTAACATAACTCTGAATAAAAGTTTCCAACTTGAACAGAAAGCGTTAATTCATACAGTTGTACCCCAAGTTACCTTAGAAAACCAAAAGGACAAAAAGAAATACTATGTTAACATATTAGAATTCTTTTTATCCGAGAGGAGGAAAAAAGTGGTCTTCTTTGAGCTTTATAATTGCGGGTGATATTTGAGGAAGCAAACCAAAGCGGCAATAATAAAAGACAGGCAGGCATTTGGCCTAGTGTTTCAGATGCTGGTTAAGATACATGTATCCCATATGCGAGTGTGTGGATACAATATTAGCATCAGCTCTCAATTCTAGTTTCCTGCTATTACAAACTCTGGGAGGCAGTGATTATGGCTCAAGTTCCTGCCACCCATGTAGGAGACATGGATTGAGTTCCTGGCTCCTGGCTTCAGCCGGGGCCTAGTCTTGGCTGTTGTGGGCATTTGGGAAGTGAACCAGCAGAGGGGAACTTGGTCTTCATCTCTTTCTCTCTCTCCCTCCTTCATTTTGTTTGTCTACTTGACTGTCTTTTTCTCTTTAAAAATATAATAGAGAATAACAATTACATCTTAATGCTATAATTTAATATATCATTTTAATATCAATACATTTATGACATTTAGAGAGCAGTACTTGACACAAATATACTCAATATATGATACTATCATTATTATTCTTCAGCACTTTTATATGTTCTTCAATGATAAAAAAAAAAATTCTTAGGAGGTGGGCATTTGGCACAGCAGTTAGGATATTGCTCAGAATGCCTACATCCCATATTGGAGTTCCTCTGTTCAAGTCCTGGTTCCATGCCCAACTCCAGCTTCCTGATATTGCACACCCTGGGAGGCAGCAGGTAACAGCTCAAGTGCTTGAATCTCGGCCACCCATGTGGAGACCCAGATTAAGTTCCAGGCTCCTGGCTCCAGCTTGGCCTAGCTCTGGTTGTTGCAAGCATCTAGAGTTTTAGTGGAAGATGGAAGACTGATCTCTCTCTCTCTCTAATTAACAAACTTTAAAAAGTAACACTCCGAAAAATAACAAAAATAGTAATTTATAGGAAGAGCAGAGAACATATGAGTTTGCTAATCTATGAGTAAGGAAAGTTACTAATAAATGATAAGACTGAATCTCTCCATGTATATAGAGTAGCATACAGTATACCCATAGTTATGAAAATAAGAGCATGGAGTGAAATATAGTTTCTTGGCTATGTTCATTACTCAATAGATCCTATAGAGAATCCTCTACTAAAGCAAAGAATAATTCTTCAAGGTGACATTAATACCATAATTTTTGAAAATGCTGATTTTTATGAATAAGGTCTCATGCAAATAAGATAAGCAAGCCAAATGAGAGGTTTCACAAAACTGTCTGGAAACAGGAACCTTAAGATAACAAGGTAATGTACAGATCAGACTAAGTCACCTCCTTACGAGACTAAAATTCACTCTCGCAGTATTGACTGGGGAATTTAGAGATCACAGGGCGCAAATGTAAGAAAAGATGGACTCTTCCAAAAATGAAATAAAAAAGATAAACAAATTTTAAAAATAAACAAACCAAAAGCCCTGGACTCCCTATTTTCTGTGATGGAGGTGGGGAGAGAACCATTCATTTAGTGCTGTCAAGAGAAGGAGAGGATGAATATGTGTCTGAGATTTCCAACAAAGGCCAATTAAGTGATCTGCATTTAACATGAGTGACTGCATAGCTTCCTCCTGTCTTTACCATCATTGAAATCGATAAATGTACAACTTGAAGACCACCATGTTAGATTTAATCCGGCACTTTCCTCCTACAACATGTCCTCCAAAATCCCTAAAGATACTGATAATCAGAGACCTTGTTCTTGAGAAAAATGTCAAAGCCCGAGTGACACCAGATGAAGCCCAAACTGTTGTTACAGTAGATCAATGTGAGCCCCATATTCCACCCCACATTTGTAGAAACCTACCCAAAAGGCCCCTCGATCCTTATAAAAGAGGTTGCTAGAGGCCAGCACTATGTTGTCGTGGGCATAGCCTTTGCCTGGGGCACCAGCATCTCACATGGGTGCCGGTTTGTGTCCCAACTGCTCCTCTTCCAATCCAGCTCTCCATTTGTGGCCTGGGCAAGCAGTGGAAGATGACCCAAATCCTTGGGCACCTGTGCCCCTGTGGGAAACTCAGAAGAGACTCCTGGCTCTTGGCTTCAGATCAGCTCACCTCTGGCTATTATGGTCATTTGTGGAGTGAACCAGCAGATGGAAGACCTTTCTCTGTGTCTCTTCCTCTCTCTGTGTGTAGCTCTACCTTTCAAATAAATAAATAAAATCTTAAAAAAGAAAACAAGTTGTTAATCATGGTCAGCTACTATGGGTTTACTGATAGTTATGTCAACCAATAGCACTTTAGTTTTGATAGAGCTTATGAATGTTTAGTGAAAAAATCATCACAGACATTGGATGTCTTGATTTTAGCAAAGCTTTTTATTTATATTGTTTTGGTTTGAAAGATAGAGAGCCAGAGACAGAGAGAAATCTCTCATCTTCAGGTTCACCCCCCAAATGCTTATAACAGCCACTTTGGACACACTGAAGCCTGGAGCCAGCAACTCAATCCAGGTCTCCCATATGGGTGGTAACTACTTAAGCCATCACCTCCTGCTTCTCAGGGTCCACATTAACAGGAAGCTGGAATTGGAAGAGTCAAGACTTGATCCCAGGCATTCTGATACAGGTTTCAAGCATCTCAAGCAGTGTCTTAAACACTATGCCCAATGTGTACCTCTTGGCAAAGCATTTGAGAAGGTGTCTCATAATACACTTGTAGAAACTGCAGACTGGAAGATTCTACAGCTGATGGACTGGTCTTTGAGTGGTCCTCCTTATCTTAAAATGTGAAGATTTAATGAGATAACACATGGAAATGGTATGCCTGGCATAATAGGTAGTCAGTTGGTGCCAGCTACTAGTATTATTAGACTGCTCAGCCAACTCCCCTGATATGTGGATCTCAGGACCAGAGCTGTATCAGAACATACCTGCCCTAAGAAGGAAGGTAGCTGCCATCTTTGGAACACCAACTATGTGCTGGGCAGTAGGTCCCTCCCAGAGCTAATCTTATTTCATTATCACCCAAACCCTTATTTTCACACAGGAGATGACTGGAGCTTACAAAGGTTAGATGACTTCCCTCAAGTTACCCGGCTAGAAGGAGACAGAGACACACCAAAAATTTGGCTAAGGAGCTTGCACTGAGGAGTCACAGTGGCATTTTTTAATAGTTGGTATAGGAATGGAGAAAGCTTTGCCCTTTAAAAGAGTCTAAAGAGAGATATTTTGAAACTGCGAGGGAGGGGGGAAGTCACACCACCCACACTCCCCATTACCTGTACACTCAGCGATTAGCCGAGGAAAAGCCCTCAAATGGTCAGCCATGCTCTCTCTCTGTCTCTCTCTGTCTCCCTCTCTCCCTCTCCCCGCTTCCACCACACAAATTTCTCCCTGGTTGCCTTATTTAAATTCCAGTTCCCCCGACAACACTCTTATTCTTCCCTCCTGCTTTCTTTTTCTTCTTAAAGCCAAATCCCCATCTCACATTCTATCATTCTGGCTATTTCTGTTTATTGTGACTCTTCCCCCACTAAAGTGTTAGCTCCTTGAAGGAAGGAATATTTGTCTATATCTCTTTTACTCCTGTTTTGTGTGTCTAAAACAGCTGGCACACACTGAAATTCAATAAACATTTTTTGGCAGAATTGAATGAATGAATGAATGATTAGAAAAGCCTAGAAAGGTTTCAATCATAAATGTCGAAAGTAATGATCCTTTCCTTAAATAGCTGCATGTTCTGTTTTATTCTATTATAAATATGTATTACCTGTATAATGAGAATTTTTTCTAATGTCACCTCAATTGTCCAGGTTTTTACGGACTGGAAGCTGAAGTGAGGGCAGAGATAGGACTGGGTTTCTCTTCTAGAAGGCAGGTGGGCTGGGTGTTTTCCACTGGTCCCTCCAGACCCCATCTCTATCCTTCCTTACTCTGCCCTACACTCTGGCACCTGATGACTTTGAACTGCATCAACAAACACCTTTGACTTTGTCTTCCAATTGGGATAAGAATGAGTCTGGACTTTGATTCCCTCAGCCCTCTGGCTGTTTAGGCTTTTGCTACTGGGTCATTGCAGATGACTGTGTCTCCGTCTTGAAGGTCCCAGTGCCTGCCATTAACCTTCTCCCCACCATTGCCCTTTGTGGGTTCTGCAGTGGCTCCCATCTGTGCCCTGTTCAGGCTTGTGAGTGGTAACAACTGCTTGTTCTGTTTTGTTTTTATTTATTTATTTTGAAAGTCAGAGTTACAGAGACAGAAAGAGAGAGAGATCTTCCATCCACTCATTCACTCCCCAAATGGCTGTAATAACCAGGGCTGTGCTAGGCCAAAGCCAGGAGTCAGGAGCTTCATCCAGGTCTCCCATGTAGGTGGCAGGGGCCCAAACATTTGTGCCATCTTCTATTGCTTTTCCCAGACTACCAGCATGGAGCTGAATTGGAAGTGGAGTAGCCAGGACACGAACCAGCACCCATATGGGATACTGGTGTCACAGGCAGAGCTCACCTGCTATGCCACAATGCTGGCCCCAGCTCCTTGTTTTCACATAACTTGGAGCACGTTACTTCCCTTGCTGGTCTTTCTAACTCTACACCACTGTTTAAACTGTCCCTTTCTAAAATTTCTTTCAGTTACCCAGGTGAGTATGCCACCAGTCTTTCTCTGGATCTCTGGCTTATTGCAGTGTAGAATGGGGAAATATGCTTCAATTCAGAAGGCCTGGTTTCTCAGGCCAGTTTCATCACTGACTTGCGCAAAGCCAGCTGCCTCCCTGGACTCAGTTTCTTCATCTGAAAACTAAGAAAATTGGGCAAGGTGACCTCTAACACCCTGTGATTTTAACAAGCCCTTTGCTCAGAAAACAAACCAGGCACTTTCCCATTGGCCAAGGAGCATTGACTTGATCCAGCTTCTGGAAAGGACCCAGTCTTCTAAGAACTAATCCACAGGGGCCGAGGCCATAATGCTACTGACACTAATGAAGCTGGCGAAATCCACTGCAGTTTCAAATCAGTAATTTCCTGGAAATCTGAGGTACGTTTTTAAACTACTATTATAAAAACTAATACATATTTATAATAGAAAAATCAGAACATGCAGCTATTTAAAGAGATAATAATTACCTTCAACATTTATGGCTGACATCTTTCTAGATTTTTCCATTCATTCTTTTATTCATTCATTTCACAAATATTTATTGAGTGTCCATATATGCCAGGCTTTTCCAAGCATCTACATGTAGGAACAAAGTTGCATTATTATGGAATATTCACATTGCTAAACTAGAAGTCTGGATGCCACTTCAATTATCCACTTTGGCTGAGTATATGAAAACTATCTGCAGAAATTATGTAATCTCTACTCTTCTCTGGGCAGTTTGGACAGACATTACCTAAGTTCCTGTAAGAGTGACTTGTTTCAGTCTGTTAGGAACAATTCAAACCTTCCTGCCATTGACTTAGTTTCTTTGTCTTAGGCACAGCCTCCAGCTTGTATGAAGGTGTTCTCTGTAGTCAACCCCAAATGTCAACATAGATGGTAGTAAAGGGACCCTCCTGGGATGTGGAACTATTTAACCACAGATCATTAGAGAATTTAGCGTGGTGTCTTTGAACATCAGAGCAGGTTCTAGAAAGTGAACTGGAAAATGGATCCCCCCATGCAAACACAGTGATTGCTGGAGGGTCGTGCAGACAGCTGTGACAGGATGGGATGTCTGACTTCTTCTCTCACTTTATATCTTTTCCCATTCTCATACCTGTGAAGGAGGGTCTGATTGTGTTTTGAAAAATATTTCACCAATATTATGCTCTTAAAAGCACTAAATATCAGTAACAAATGCATTTGTCCATCTTACTCAGATTCTACTTTTAAGAATATCAAACAGCTAGGCTTACTGCAGAGAAGTCAGTAAAGAGCCAGCATGGTCTCCCTAGATGAAATCACAATCACTGCCACATCTTTGACCATCTCCTGAGAGAACAAGAAAACAGACAGGGAAGGAGAAAGATCGAAAGAGAAGCCTATCCCAGGAGTCCAGCAAATCAAACTATGTGGGCCGAAAGTAAACCTTCTTTGCTTTGCACCGCACTTACCTGTGAAACGTGATAGCAGTACCTTCCCCATAGTGCTATGGTCTTAGATAAGTTAATGCAAAATACTTGCGACAAGGCTCCGTGCATGGTAAACTGTCAACGAAGGCTAGATTTTCCCCCTCCTCCTTGCCCTTCTCTGTACTCAAAGAACCCTCCTGATCTGCCTTAAAAAGTTCTGTCTTTGTTTTGTTAATCAATGGTTTCTGTATACTCTTCCACATATTACAAGATATACAGGGCCAGCTTTGTGGTGTAGTAGGTCAAGCCTCCACCAGTGGTGCTGGCATCCCATATAGGTACTGGTTCGTGTCTCAGCTGCTCCTCTTCTGATCCAGCTCTGTTTATGACCTGGGAAAACAGTGAAGATGGCCCAAGTGCTTGGGTCCCTGCATCCACGTTGAGACCCAGAAGAAGCTCCTGGCTCCTGACTTCGGATTGGTTCAGCTCCAGTTATTGCGGCCATTTGGGGAGTTAACCAGTGGATGGAAGACCTTTCTCTCTTTCTTTCTCTGTGTCTGTAACTCTGGCTCTCAAATAAATAAATCTTAAAAAAAAAAAGATATATTGATGGTGTTTCCACAGTGCCTACATCAGACATGTGAAAATTTAAAATACATCTGACATGGAAATTAGGTTCAATTAGCAATGATCCCTCTCAGACATTCCTTCTGTGCCAAATATTGTCACTGTGCAGAAGGACCAGCATGGATCACAGTCAATTTGGTGACTCAAAGGGCAATCTATATTTTTACTCTCATTCATCTAAGAAATTTTTATTAAAGGCTTGGCATGTTCCAAGTTGTGGAAGGAATACCAGGATAGATTCAAACATTGATTCTGTCTTTAAAAAAATTTCATTCCAGGGAGGGGGAAAATCAGGTGAAGATTTTTTTTAATATACATAGAAAGTGATGTGTTACAGTACAGGTAGGAGGTTGGGGGCTTACAGCAGCAAAAGGCTGGTTTCTGTTGCAGAGTCAAGACAAGACAGTGCAATTTACACAATTTGTCTGAAGACACTTACTTTGAATGCAAATTTGGTCTTTATGTGTGTTTGAGGGGGAAGGGTCATTCATCAAAACTGTAATGCAGGCTGAGTTTGTAATGCTTTCTGCCTTTGTACCAGCCACCCACTACCACCACAACTAACACTGTTTTCCCACCCACTGCAGCAATACACCAGACCTGGAACTAAACCCATGCTCCGTTAAGTTTCTTACCTCAACCAAAACATCCCTATAATATGCCGCTTGTTGTTCACGGTTCCTGAGTAGATGTGGACCAGTTCTCAGAGGAGTGATAGCCAGCATCATGGGCACCCTATGTTTGACACAAAGAACCTCTGCCTTTGTTTACAGCTATAGCCCATGTCCTTGCAGATATTTAGTCGACTGTAATAACAAACCGATAGGTTTTGACCAGATCACTCCCAGCAAAACCTCAATAAGTGGCTGAAAAGGCTACTGCAGCTTCAGTTCAGTTATCACATTGAACTCTATGGATGGCATCAGCTGGAATTGTAATGGCAGGCCCGCCCTGACTGAGAAAAGTCACAGGGCTTTGATGGCTATTTATCAAAGTACTTATCATGTAAATAAACAAATATTTTTAAATAAAGTATTTCACAAAGAAATAATGACACTTCTCAGTATTTTAAGCATGCAAATTGCAAAGATAAATGCATGTGGCTTTGTAGATATCCGAGTTGCATTTGTGTCTTTGTCAATATTACGTTATTTCACCTTGATATGACTGTATAACATGGCTAACAATTTCAGTGTCTTACAGGGTGGTATTCTGGAAAGGTCAACACTGTGCCAATCTAGCCACAGCCTCTTTGGAGGGGATCTACCCTGCCCACACTGTCTGCCCTAGGGACAGGCCCAAGAAGCCATGTGTAGAAGCTAGCATCCCACCCTTTCTGTCTACAGATGATTGGCCTTGGTCCATTATGCACCTGTGCCAATGGCAAGAAGACCCACAGGCAGCTTCAGGAAGTACAGTCTACTCTGAAAGAAGGATGGGGTCAATTAGATTCTCTCTTAGGTTCCTAAACTTGAAGCAAACAATTAGCTATCAGTTTGCACCAGGACCAGAAGAAGATATATCATGTGTGGCTTAATCATGGAAATCAGAGATTCACAGACTCCTGGTACTGAAGGTCTAGGAGCCTCCTTGAGTCTAGAATTGCCTTTAAGCTCTGGGCTCCTTTAGGCCAAGACTTAATATAGCTCCAACTGCTGGATTCCTGTGAGCATTCCTTTATCATTTAAAAATAATGTGACGTGGTCAACATGCTAAAGCCTTGTGTCTCAAGCTGGCTGGAATAGTTTTCTGTGTTTTGCCAAAATAAATAAATAAATAAATAAAAAGCCAGATTAAAACCAATAGGAAATTAAACCTGGTACCAACTGAACTCCTGTATGTAAGGCCTTCTGGAGAAATCACAAGAAGCAAAAAAAACCCAGCAGTGTCTCAGTCATTATTTGAAAGACAATAGAAACCAAGAAAGAAAAAAGGGAACTGAAAAGCTGTAAAGATGATTTGGAAAGTGTGCCTCCCTGTTGGGTATGCAGCAACTTGTAGAACCATTGTCACAAATGGAGATGCCTGGGCCTCACTGTCATGAATAAAACCCAGCACTCTAATGACAAAACTTAAAATAGCCTATGAATGACTGGTTATGGGATATGCTAGATGCACAGGAATCACACATGATTAAAGACAATTCGCAAGAAAAACAGGATAACAATATTGGAAACAGCGTCAAAAGCAGGTGCTGGGGTCAAGTCTGTCTATATGGCCTTGGTTTTTGTTTCCACTCAGCTTGAACCACTAAATGACTCTGCTATCTGCTATAAAATATGTGTGTATGTATGCGTTTGTATATGTGTGTGTACACTTACACACAGACACATAAATGTTCCTATGACATGTGTCTAAGTAAAACAATTTCCAAATAATTCCTCAAGGATAGTATTTCATGGCTGAAGCAAATTCATAGCTTCTACCTAAATATTTCAGTTAACTTAGAGATTGAATTATCATCATACCTGATCCATGAAGAAATCGTATATGTTTGAACACTAAAATATGTAGAGAGGAGAGTTTACTACTTGAAAGGATTTCCTATGCCTGTATTGTATAAATTGTGCCCTCTTACTCTAGAGAAGCAAGACAATGAAGTGGCTAAGGGAAGGACTTTGGTGACCGAGGGGGCTGAGCACAAATGCAGGTTCTGAGAGTCACAATTATGTGGCCTCCAGCTATTTACTCCCGAACTTTCTTTATTTCTAATGCAAGGAGGAGGCAGAGGATGGTGCATCCCTTATAGGGTATTATAAGGCTTACATGTGTTGATGACTGTAAAAGCTTACAGCAGCACCTGGCCCACAAGAAACACCCCAAAAATGCTTGTTACTATTATTTGTATTTGTTTCATTGAACTTGCAAAGTCAGTCATTGAACCAACCCTGAGTTCATGCTAAATAAATGCTATGCTGAGTGTGTGCTTTTGTAATCTTGTTGAGAACTCACAACAGGTAAGTAGAGATTATCATCTTAATTTTACAGTGCAAAAATATGGCTAGAAAAAAGTTAGAAAATGTTTGCAAAAGGCTGCCTGTTAATGAATGGCAGAGCGAGGGTCCATTAATATTTTTGTTTATTCATTCATCATGTTTTCATGAATGCTGGCTACGTGGTATTCTAGGATCTGGAATATAATCATCCTTGCCTTCATGGAGCCTATACTTAACTAGGGGAGACATCAAAAATAAGTCAGTAAAATGTGTAGTAAATGACCTGGGGGAATGTGCAAACGAGAAAATTCAGCAGGGAAGGGAGGAGGGAACGTGTATATGTGTGTGTTTTGAGGGGAATGCAGTTCAGAATACAAAAGTTTCCAGAACACACAACTAGGATAGAAAGGGAACATTTGAGGAAAGATGTGAGAGAGAAGTGGAAGCAAGTCACATAATTCATTGGAGTATTTAGTTCTAGGCAGAGAGAGAGAGTGAGAGCGACAGCGAGAGAGAGAGAGGAAGAGAGAGAGAGAGAGAATACGAATGTGCAAAGGCTCTGAGGCAAGAGTATGTCTTGATGTTCCAGGAATAGTAAAAACGTCAGTGTGTCTGTATCAGAGAAAAGAGGGAGAATAGCAGAAGAGGAGGTCACAGAGGTAAAGGCTTGGTTGACATTGGTGTTTGCTGAAGAAAACCTCTCCCTACATTCCTCTTAACTGGGTTTCTGCTTCCACAAAGTCAGCACAGCTAAGGAAGCCATGGATAAAAGAGACTCTCCTTTGGGAGAGCCATCTTGCCTTCCAGCCTCTTCTTCCTGCAGAGAGGAAAACCCAAGCTGTCATTGTTGTCAAGTAGTTCACTGGAACCAGAAACCACGTAACCAGCATCCTGCCCAGCCAACTGGAAGCAACCATGACAATGTGCTGAAAGTCCTTGCAGATTGGGGCTGTGGTCTCTCTGAGCTCATCATGGCATCTTCCTATGTAGGAGTTTCAATTCAAGGTCATTTTTAGTTCCTCTCAGTAGCAGACTCAGAACCAGACCTACTCAGGTGGGGGAACAAAGCAGACACATTAATAGCCAGACCCTAGTGGGAGTTTATTTTCCATTTCCTCCTCCCGCATATTTATTTGTTTCTTTGTCTCCTCTGTGCAGTAAAGGTGACCTTGCATGATATTTTCAGAAGAATTTAAAAAGTGGAGTGGAAGAGGCAAGGATGTCACCCTGTACTGAGCCTTGCTTTTCTCCATATTCTTTCAGCTGCTACAGTTGGGCTGCCCAGGTTCAAATCCCCATTTTGCTACATGGAAGCTGTGTGACCTTCTTCAAAATAATCAACCTTTCTGAGCCTCAGTTTCCAATTTTTAAATTGGAGATGATGATCATGTCTGCTATATAAGCTTATTGTGAGAATTAAATGATGGCATTTAATTCTGTTTCAAAATTTAGCCACATTTAGGAGTTCCTTGCTTTTCTCGGGGTATTTTTCATCACATTGAGGATTGTCAGGACACTAAGAGGTAGGTGTCCAAATGCTGTGGTCTCTGCATATCTGCTCAAGGCAGGATTCAGATCTGTTCTGCATGCTGGAAGCTCTATGTCTCCACCTGGGTGGTCCTAGCCTCCCCAGCTGATAAGCCCCTTGAGGCCTTAGGAAGAGACTTGTAGAGCTCAGCTTTATCTGACTGAGGGGAGCAGTTGGCCCACTGCCTGGAAGGGGAAGGTGTGCTCACTGCATTTATTACCATCCCTGGGGCAGAAACTGAGTTCTTGCCAGAACATGAAAACAACAAAAAAAAACATCCTTTCTAGATGAGATTTTTAGCATTTGAATCTGCAGAGCTGTGTTTTCCCTCTTTCAGTGTAATGTATGTTTTGGGAAAATGGTATACAGAATTTGGAGAATGTTATTTAACAGCCACAGCTCATTAACCCTATGTATTCCTGTAGAAAGGAAAAAATAACTACATGGTTATATTAGAAAGTCTCCCTTGGCTGGCGCCACGGCTCAATAGGCTAATCCTCCACCTGCAGCGCCAGCACACGGAGTTCTAGTCCCGGTCGGGGCCCCAGATTCTGTCCCGCTTGCCCCTCTTCCAGGCCAGCTCTCTGCTGTGGCCCGGGAGTGCAGTGGAGGATGGCCCAAGTGCTTGGGCCCTGCACCCCATGGGAGACCAGGAGAAGCACCTGGCTCCTGCCATCGGATCAGCGCGGTGCACTGTCCGCAGCGTGCCGGCTGCAGCAGCCATTGGGGGGGTGAACCAATGGCAAAAGGAAAACCTTTCTCTCTCTCTCTCTCTCTCTCTCTCTTTCTCTCTCTCACTGTCCACTCTGCCTATCAAAAAAAAAAAAAAAAGTCTCCCTTAAGATGTACCCTGTGTGAAGAAATAGATAGGTCTGGGCCTCTTAATTTACAAGGCCTTAAAGCCCACCAGATTATTAACAAGCTCCAAACCCCTCTACCTGCAAAAGTTAGTGGCTTTTCTCCTGGTCTTGGCTGGGATCAGCTTTAAACCACGTCGATCAAACAATCTTCTCACAAGGGTCCTGAGACCCCCTCATTTCCTCTCCTCTATGAAATCCTCTCATTACCTGGTTAATGCCACTCTTAGGATCATTTGTTGCCATTCTCATTCTGACTTTTATACTACAGTGTCTGTTTAAGTATTTACAGCAGGTGATAATGGAACGAACCAAGGCCTTCAGCAACCAGGCAATCAACTAAATGCTGCTTCAGGGATATACTCAGCTCCCCACCTAGAAGACAGCAGCTTGAGACATCACTCCAATTCTTCTCAAACTATTCAGAACAATTGAAAGAGAGGGAATCCTCCCAAATTCTTTCTATGTAGCCAGCATCACCTTAATTCCTAAACCTGAAAAAGATGCTGCAGAGAAAGAGAATTACAGATCAACTTCCCTGATGAAAATAGACACAAAAATCGTCAATAAAATTCTAGCCAATAGAATGCAACAACACATAAGAAAGATCATCCACCCAGACCAAATGGGATTTATCCTGGGTATGCAGGGATGGTTCAACGTTCACAAATCAATCAATGTGATACACCACATTAACAAACTGCAGAAGAAAAACCATATGATTATCTCAATAGATGCAGAGAAAGTATTTAATAAAAAACAACACCCTTTCATGATGAAAACTCTAAGCAAACTGGGTATGGAAGGAACATTCCTCAATATAATCAAAAAAATTTATGAAAAACCCATGGCCAGCATCCTATCGAATGGGGAAAAGTTGGAAGCATTTCCACCGAGATCTGGTACCAGACAGGGATGCCCACTCTCACCACTGCTAGACAGGGATGCCCACTCTCACCACTGATATTCAGCATAGTTCTGGAAGTTTTAGCCAGAACCATTAGGGAAGAAAAAGAAATTAAAGGGATACAAATTGGGAAGGAAGAAGTCAAACTATCCCTCTTTGCAGACAATATGATTCTTTATTTAGGGGACCCAAAGAACTCTACTAAGAGACTGTTGGAACTCATAGAAGAGTTTGGCAAAGTAGCAAGATACAAAATCAATGCACAAAAATCAACAGCCTTTGTATACACAGGCAATGCCACGGCTGAGAAAGAACTTCTAAGATCAATCCCATTCACAATAGCTACAAAAATAATCAAATACCTTGGAATAAACTTAACCAAGGACGTTAAAGATCTCTACGATGAGAATTACAAAATCTTTAAAAAAGAAATAGAAGAGGATACCAAAAAATGGAAAACTCTTCCATGGTCATGGATTAGAAGAATCAATATCAAAATATCCATTCTCCCAAAAGCAATTTATAGATTCAATGTGATATCAATCAAAATACCAAAGATATTCTTCTCAGATCTGGAAAAAATGATGCTAAAATTCATATGGAGGCACAGGAGACCTCGAATAGCTAAAGCAATCTTGTACAACAGAAACAAAGCCAGAGGCATCACAATACCAGATTTCAGGACATACTACAGGGAAGTTATTATCAAAACAGCATGGTACTGGTACAGAAACAGATGGATAGACCAATGGAACAGAATTGAAACACCAGAAATCAGTCCAAACATCTACAGCCAACTTACATTTGATCAAGGATCTAGAACCAATTCCTGGAGCAAGGACAGTCTATTCAACAAATGGTGCTGGGAAAACTGGATTTCCACATGCAGAAGCATGAAGCAAAACCCCTACCTTTCACCTTACACAAAAATTCACTCAACATGGATTAAAGACTTAAATCTACAACCTGACACCATCAAATTGTTAGAGAACATGGGAGAAACCCTGCAAGATATTGCCACCAGTAAAGACTTCTTGGAAAAGATCCCTGAGGCACAGGTAGTCAAAGCCAAAATTAACAATTGGGATTACATCAAATTGAGAAGTTTCTGTACTGCAAAAGGAACAGTCAGGAAAGTGAAGAGGCAACCAACAGAATGGGAAAAAATATTTGCAAATTATGCAACCTATAAAGGTTTAATAACCAGAATCTACAAAGAGATCAAGAAACTCCACAACAAAACAAAAATCCACTTAAGAGATGGGCCAAGGACCTCAATAGACATTTTTCAAAAGAGGAAATCCAAATGGCTAACAGGCACATAAAAAATGTTCAGGATCACTAGCAATCAGGGAAATGCAAATCAAAACCACAATGAGGTTTCACCTCACCCCAGTCAGAATGGCTTACATACAGAAATCAACTAACAACAGATGCTGGTGAGGATGTGGGGAAAAAGGGACACTAATGGGCCGGCGCCGTGGCTCAATAGGCTAATCCTCCACCTTGCGGCGCCGGCACACCGGGTTCTAGTCCCGGTTGGGGCGCCGGATTCTGTCCCGGTTGCCCCTCTTCCAGGCCAGCTCTCTGCTATGGCCAGGGAGTGCAGTGGAGGATGGCCCAGGTGCTTGGGCCCTGCACCCCATGGGAGACCAGGAAAAGCACCTGGCTCCTGGCTCCTGCCAGGATCAGCGCGGTGCGCCGGCTGCAGCGGCGGCCATTGGAGGGTGAACCAACGGCAAAGGAAGACCTTTCTCTCTCTGTCTCTCTCTCTCACTGTCCACTCTGCCTGTCAAAAATAAAAATAAAAATAAAAAAAAAAAAAGAAAAAAAAAAAAAAAAGAAAAAGGGACACTAACCCACTGTTGGTGGGAATGCAAACTGGTTAAGCCACTATAGAAGACAGTTTGGAGATTCACCAGAAACCTGAATATAGCCCTGCCATACAACCCAGCCATACCACTCCTTGGAATTTACCCAAAGGAAATGAAATTGCCAAACAAACAAGCTGTCTGCACATTAATATTTATTGCAGCTCAATTCACAATAGCTAAGACCTGGAATCAACCCAAATGTCCATCAACGGTAGATTGGATAAAGAAATTATGGGACATGTACTCTATAGAATACTATACAGCAGTCAAAAACAATGAAATCCGGTCATTTGCAACAAGATGGAGGAATCTGGAAAACATCATGCTCAGTGAATTAAGCCAGTCCCAAAGGGACAAATATCACATGTTCTCCCTGATTGGTGACAACTAACCGAGCACCAAAAAGGAAACCTGTTGAAGTGAAATGGACACTATGAGAAACAATGTTTTGATCAGCCCTTGTCCTGACTGTCAAGGAACAACTTACTATTTGATTCCTTTTAGTATTTTTTTGGTCTAGTTAATACCATTGGTTGAACTTTTAATTAACACACAATTATTCTTAGGCATTTAAAATTAACTGAAAAATGATCCCTTTTAAATATAAGAGTGAGAATAAGAGAGGGAATAGATGTACAGTTCAGCACATGCTCACTCAGACTTAACCCTAATGGTAGAGCTAGAAACGTGCCAGGGGATTCCAATTCAATTCCAGCAAGGTGGCATGTACCAATGCCATCTTACTTGTTAATGTGATCAGTTTAAGTTCATAATTGATCAAAAAGATAGGATTAAGTGTCAAAGAGATTACATAAATAATACCAGTGTCTGCTAATGATAAGTAATAGAATTAAAAAGGAGAGAACAATCCAACATGGGA